TGAGTTAAATTATTTAATTGGAAATCATTTCTAAATGTATTATATAAAAGTAGGAAGAAAAAAGAATAAAAAAAAAATTTCCTTATTTATGTGGCCATTTCATTTTATAATCTTTTAATGCAATGGTAAACTGGAAATTATGGTGGTATGCTGATTGTTGGTAAACACCGTTGAGGTGAGATTGTCTGAGACGATTAAAAGATCAGTTGTGATGATTTGGGCAGTACCAAACGTCTCAATTTATTCTTAATAATCGACTTTTAAGAAATAGGAGAGGAGAGATAATGATGATGAAGAGGATGAATAACATGTTGAGGTAAATAATAATTTCTAAATAATTTTCAATTATTTAGAAATTATCCAACAAATACAAGTCATTATCAAAATAATTCAATTTAAATGTATTTTCATATGATAATTTAATAATCAAATTGAAAAACATTACTAAATTACAATAATAATGTCTTATAATTATTGTTCACAATTTTTACTACAAGTGTATTTTACAAATAAAATTTTCAACGATATTTTAAAGAATAATTAATTGTGAAAATTTCGAGGAAAATAAATTAATATAATTAATAATTGCAAAAATTGATAAGGTATTTTAGTGCTGTTAACAGAAGCTATTTTCATTTTACTTAACTTTTCCCCTTACCTTTTCTCTCCTTCTTCTTCTTCTTCCTATTTTGGCACTTTTTTTTTCTTAATGGTATCGATCATCTTTTGTTTCAAGTGATACAATAGGATATGCAGAACTGTAACTCGCATACAGTTTGTCAAATTTACCACCTGCGGTGACTTTCAATTAATTTATTGCGGAATGTCAGTGATGGTATTATTTTTAGCGAAATGAATGCCCACTGGGTTGGTTAACAACTAATGTTTCGGTACCCGTAGCATTAAAAGATTTTTTTTTTCCTTTTTTTAAATTAAAGAAATGTTTTAAATGAAGGAAATTTTCCACTAATCGTTTTTCCGCATGTAATGTTTTTTTATATGTAAAATTTAAACAAATTTATCCTTTTTCGAAATTTTTATTCATTTATATTTGATAATATTAAAATAACGACAAATATTAAGATAGAGAAAAGACGAGATGAAATTATGATAAATGAAGATTAAAATATTAGTTATGAAAAACGAAATATTACGTTCATACATTCTTGCATCTTTCAACTTTAGTATTTTGGTTTTTTTTTCTTTTTTTGCTAGAATCTTTTTTTGAATATTTCAGTTAAACTTAATAGAATGCATTTTGAATATTTCAATTAAACTTGATAGAATGTACAAAAAAAAAAAATTATTTTGCTACTTTCAGTATACTTGATAAATTTGTTGAATTCTTCAAGAAGCAACAATGAACTTTTTAAGCAAATAAGTATAACTTATCATAATTTTTTCATTCTTTATTTATTATTATAATTTGTTCAAATAACAGAACTATTGTATAAATAAAAAAAAAATGTCCTTAATTGGTACTTCAGAATGTTTGATCGTATGCTATCTGAAGTGTACTTCATATTGCGCAATTATCTCATAAGGAAAATCTTTTTTCTTTAAATGTTATTTGACAGTATCTATCATATTTAACAACTAATTAAAAAAGAATTCAAATAATAATTTGATTAAAGAAACGATAACTATTAATCAAAAGGATAGATTTAGATTTATTTTTCTTTTCCGATATAATGGATTATTTTCACCATATTTTTTTTTTCACTTGAAAAAATAAGTGAAAAAAAATAGGACCACAAAAAAAAAACATTAATATCAAGAATTTATATTATTTTTTTCACTTAAAAATTTGCAAAAATTTACGCTTCATTTTTGATTCAAAAATATTTAAATGCTAAATTTGAAATAACCAATTCCACCATATCTTCCATATAAATTATTGGTAAAATTTTCTTTCAACTATTTTGATATTTTAAAAGGTTAAAATGATGAATTTGTTAAGATTGTGCTGTAACATTTAGCATAAATAAATTTAAGCTTTTAAATGTAAGAAAAGTTTTCAAGCAATGAGTATAATTGTTTGTGCAATTATTCTCGTCAGGAAAATTGTTATTATAAATAAAAAAAATTACGATCGGATGTGCTTTGCATTATTGTGGAATAATTAGTGGGATGGGAGGGAGAGAAAAGAGTGGTAATTATTCGTTTTATTTCTTAAATTCAGGTGACACTGTCATTTTTGTGGTATTTATCTATCCATTTCACACATTCTATTCATTCGTATATTCTTTTTTTTTTTTTACCTGTCTGTCAATTAAAAGTAATTTTTATGTCCTTTCAAAAATAGAACTCAATCATATTCTTCTTTAAGGTAATCTTTTCCTGACAACAATTATTTGCAAATTAAAATTAACAAGCAAATTATTGCTGAAGGCATATTTTTTTATTCTCTTCTATTTAATTTTAAATTTCAATTTTCAACGATTATAATATCGTAAATAGAAAGCACCTTAAAGCTAATTTCTAAATGTTATGTGATATAAAATTTATTTTGTGAAATATCGTAGCATGAATGTTTGCTAAAAATGGAAAAAGCAATGGAGGGATTGAGTTCTAGAATTAGCAGAAATGATGAGAGAGAGAGACAGAGAGAGAGAGAGAGAGAGAGGGAGAGAGGGGGAGAGGGAGGGAAATAGAAAGAATTGAAATGCATGAAATATTTGGTTTGCTCTCAAAATCTATTTGTACAAAATTTCAAAAATTTCAAGCCAACAAGCTTTGATTGAACTTTTCAAATGCAAATGAGCCGGTGATGATAAATGCATAATTAATTACGGTCGCGTGTCAAAATAGGCATTTTCACGAATATTTCAGCTAATTTTACTCGCTGCTAAGCATTGGTGAAAAATTGTTGCAAATTGTAACCTCGATTGGAATTGCTTCCTTCCTCGAAATGATAAACTTGTCAGAAGTTCATTGAATCATCTTTTCTGTTTAAATCGCTCTCAGATCTTTCTTCTATCCATCCAACCTTTGACTTATTTCCACTTATTTGCGGTGCAATTAAAAATTTGCCATATTGAAGAAAGAAATATTTTCAATAATATCACTTATTAAAATGTGTTTTTCACTTCTGAAGATTAATTATTTCAATTTCAACTGCTTACCAAAGAATGAGTAATAATTTTGGTTTAAATGATAAAATTGCACTGAACAGCTTTTAACAGTCTTATCTTGCAATTTGACTATACTTCCATTCCAAGAAGTTCTTCGTTGAATTGAAATTTTTGGATTTCAAATGTTAATTTACAGGTAAGTCTTCTGCAGACTCTATTTGAGACCATAAAATGAGATTCTCATAAAAGGAAGCCATAAATCTTTGCCTGGCGACAATTATTTCTTGGCGACACAAATCTTTGAAGTGATAATATTGTTTGTGATATATAATGAACATTATCTTTTAATTTAAATATCAATCTTTCTTTAACACTGACAAAATTCAAGCTAATTTCAATTTTCATCGAAACTGATCATTTTGTTACTTTAATATTTAATATTGAGAGTAAAGTGGAGAGATTAAAAGAAACGATTTATTTTTTGGCTCCAACGATTGTTTGCCGATGGATTTGCAGATTGGATGAAAGGGCGGAAATTGTTTGTGACAATCGGATCAGAGTAAAATGTCACAGAGCAGAAGAAGTAAATCTCATTTGATAGTAATCATTTCATTAAATACTGCAATGATCGTATCGTTCATTTAATCAGATATGTCAGATTTTGTGGATGAAAATGAATTTTTGAGAATCATTGATTGCTTGATGTTATTTTACGGCAGCTTCAAATAATTTTCAGCAATCAGAAGAACTGCAAAAAGATCACTCTGTGATTTAAAAATAATTCATAATTTTGAAACTTCTGGCATACAGCAAATTTTAATGCTCCCTGAACAACATTCACATTTAAACAATTTATTTAAATTTAACTTTGCTAGATTAGAGAAATGGATTAGTTCCAAATGAGACGAAATAATCTATGCAAATAATCAAATTTCTCAAATTGCTTGCTTTCGCAACTAACAAAAGCTAAATTCCACTATAAACGCCTCGCCATGCCTTATTCTTCTGAAAAAACGGCCTAAATTGCAACAGACTTTTTTATTCCCTCTTTTATTTCGAACTTTTTGCAATCCAGCAGATTCTCACTTCATTACTTCTCATTTCAAGCAAAACAAATTTTTCGTAGGCAGTTAATTTCAAAATATTAAATGAAAATTTTCAACAGTATTGTAATTTTTGGATTGCATCTTTCATTCATTTTATTTATCTCGAGCAAAAGGTTAGACAAACATGCAATGGACAGCGTGTTATTTACATGATCCATCGGAATAGGTTTAGGTCATTCATTCCACGGTGCTTTTATACTCTCTTCTTTTCCTCCCCATTTTGCTTCAACTTTTCTTAACTTATGAAATAGTCAGATATGCTTATTACTGTTTATTATTATAATTATAATAATAATTATTACCATTATCGCTATTATTATTATTATTATTATCATTATTATTATTATTATTAATTTATTATTATTATTGCAATTATAATATCAAACTGATGTAAATTGCTCGGATATTATTGATACTATGATAAGCATAGACGATTTATTATTGCAATCATAATATTAAATTGATACAAATTTCTCGTTATGACAAGAATATCAATAATATGTATATGAGTTTTATATCATTAATGAACGTTTTTCGGGTTTTGATAAGCCTCTCAAAATACAAACATTTAATATCAAATGATGATAAATATTATTCTTTAATCAAAAATTTGAAAATTATTAATAAATTTGATTAATACATCTATTTCCCTCTACGCCTTGCTCTCTTTCACAAAAAAAAAAAATGAAAGAAAGAAATGAAAAAACATAAAAGGAACCCTTTTGACAGTTTCCATTGTTTCTGTATCCAAAATATCGCTTGGACCATTAAATGTATTGTATGAAGTTGAACTGATGAAATCCAATTTTTCCTGTTTCGGTTCTAGGACACCGCTATATGACGGTACGTATGGCGATTGAGAAGGTGAAAAAGGTTCTGGAAGTTGATGAAGCTGTTGATGTAAGGTAACGGGTGTTGTATATTCATTCCTACTATCATTATTCGAATCAGCTGATTGTCCATCTTCCGTATCCGGTTCATTTTTCATATCATAAACATATTTAATGTTCACATTATATGCAAATGAACCAAAATTCAATGAACCTGGCATAGAATTTGTTGGAGTTTGTTGAAAAAACAGAGTACCACTAGAAGGAGTACCGGAAGGTGATTCGGTTACAGCAGGACTTGCCGTGGAACGATTAAATTTAACGGATGAATTAGTAACGGTTGAAATAGGCGGAAGCGGTTGAAGGGGTGTTAGCGTTGTGTACTGATTGAATGCTGTTGTTGTGCCAGCACTTTGACTATGTGGACTATTACGGCTATGAGCCGAATAATTATCATCACGGATATGATTCCGGTAGCTATCCGGTTGTGGAGGTGATGAACTTGGTAATGTAGCTGATAGCAACGGATCCGAGCTATTGCTGGTCATCGGTCCGGATGATTCCAATCCTTCCATTTGCCCAAAGTATACGATGCACTGAGATGCGGCCGCTTCGTTTCTGGGCTTTCAACGTAAAGCAAAAAGCTGTGCGACAGACACAGACATACACACTCATATAGACATACACCCACACACACACACACACACACGCACACACACACACACACACACACACACACACACACATACATACAAACACACACACACACGCACAGATAGAGAGGAGGGACATTAAGAGGTGTGACACTTAAGGAAATCCTTAAACCCCACCCTGAAAGAGGGATGGATGCTTCTTACTTTGAATGATAGAAAAGCGGACAATAAGGGAGAGTTAGCGCTAGCCATAAGAGGGAGCAATGGCTTAGGCTTTCATACTCTCTAAGGCTATGAGCTGGAAAGAAGAGAAGGAAGGAAGGAGGATTGATAGGAGAGGGGACATTGTTGATCCAGAAATGGAAAGGGAGAAGGACCGACCATTTATAGATGAGATGTGATGTCTAACTTCAGCAGCAGTAGCAACAGCAGCAGTAGCAACAGCAGCAGTAGCAACAGCAGCAGTAGCAGCAGCAGCAGCAATGGCATTCACTCTTCCATTGCTACTGTTACGTTGTCGCGTTTGCTTGCAGACTTGCTTCCTTGCTTGCTTGCTTACTTACTTACTTACTTACTTGTCATCCATCTACCCGTCATTATCCTTTTAGCTTGAGCACAGCACGAAGCACAGCTTTTCATGAATTAATCCATGCAAATAGCAGCTGCAGCTACTTTTGTCCCTTACTACAAATACTACTATTTTATTATTACTACTACAATTACTATTGCTACTGTTGTTGTGCAATTAATTTTTATAATTAGACAGTATCAAACTAAAACTGTAGCAAATAATTGCAATATCATAATATTTAAAACAATTTAAAATTTTACTTAACGGATATTCAATCATTTATTGTATCAATCATTCCGAAATTCTTTAAATATAATTTCTTCTTTTTCTTTCTTTAATGAATTTCTCGAGAATTTGAGATTTTTGATATTTTATTCTTTTTTTTTCTTCGTCATCATTTCCTTTTCATTTCATTATACTTTACATAAGCATTTTCTCTTATTCTAATAATAGTTTCATCCTATCTTATTAATTTCAACTATCTCAAAATAATGGAAATCAATCGACAGATTATATATGTATATTTTTCTTTTTGTAATAAATAAAATAATTTTATGATTTTTTAAATAAAAAAAATCATCGTATATTTCTTTCTTTTTTATTTGTCTAAAGATTTAAAAAAAATATAATTTAATTGTTTCGTATTTTAATTGATAAATATAGTCCATTCATACACACATTTATATATTATACACTACTTTATTTGAGCAAAAAATGAAAATACCAAAATTTAACAAAAAAAAAAAATGTGTAAAAATAAAAATTCATTATATGAAAACATATAACAGATAAATTACCTTTCTTTTCTTCTGTCTAAAGAAAAGTTTAGACAAATATTTTTGTCTATACATTATTATCAGGTAAATGAATTCAAATGCAAGGAAAAAATGATGAAAAGAACGGATGAATGAGGAAGAAGAGAAGAGAAAAGGAAAATTACGACTAAAATTTTATGATTTAATTTGATCAATAAATATGATAAATTAAATTAGTATAATCATACGTGATAATAATAAAGCGTACAATTTAGCGCCATTTAAAAAATTCAAATTTCAATTGAAATTCGAATTTCACTTTATTCAATTTGCTTAATATCAATCATTGCTAAATTTAAAGTCTTTCGCTTTTCTCTTTCTTCTTCTTAAATGAATTTTCATTTAATACTTGTCTTAGCTTCTTTACCATACATGTGTACGTGTAAAAATACGCTATGAGATTTTTTCTTCTTTTTTGAATTTCAATTAAATTAATTAAAATTTCGGAATTAACAAATATCAATAAATATAATCATTTAATCAAGCCTATTATTCGATGGTGTATACATATGCGCCTGAGCATGTCTAACCCTTTCCGCCATTTCCTTTTCTTCTTCACCCACAAACATCGTTTTCATATCATACTCATCATCATCTTCATAATAATAACCTATTGGCCTGGAAATAATAAAAATAAAAATACTCGAAAAATGAATGAGTAAATGAATTAACTTAGTATCAATTATTATCGAGAAATGGAATGAATTTATATGAATGAGAAAAATAGTCTGAATGTCAACAAAAAGGTCAAGAGGATAAAGCAAATGATAAATTTATTTCATGTCTTATAAGCATTATAGGATCAAAATATTTGTTATATTGGTTAAATTGTTAAGTAATAATCGATGTAATTTAAAAAGTTAAAATTTAGTACAAAAATAGGAAGTGAATTCTATCAACCTCGGCTGTTCACTTGGAACCCGTCCATACAGGAAATTGGTATGAGTATTTTCTTCAACCGGACATTTTTCTGGTTCCGATGAGTCTTCAACTCGATTAAATCGATATGATATCATCCAAATGATAATGACAATGATAACAAGAATAGTTACCACACCACCAATACCAGCTGTGATAAGCGCTACTTTTTGTGTTCGTGCTTGAAAGCGAACCTATATTAAATAATAATTTCATTCAAAATTAAAATTAAAAAACAAAATGAGAGTGAATGGAAATTTTAATAATGATAATAATGATTTTGAAGATTTCTCAATTTTATTTCTTCCTTTTTTTTTTTCCAAAAATATGAAGTTAAAAAAAATGTTGGCCATGTTGAAAGTGTGCTCAGCTTCCAGAAAAAATGTACATTTTTTGAAAAATTAGAATGAATTCATTTAAAATTTCATTGCAATTTATTTTTTCAAAATTTCATTTTAACCTCGCAACGATCGCCTGAAAAATTCTCCTTACAAATGCATTCCACATAACCGATTGGATTCTTTTTACATGTGCCATCATTAAGGCAAAAGTTATTACAAGCATCTGAAACAGTTTTTTTTTTTCTT